GCAGCCCTGTGTTCAAATGCTCAGCAGATGACGAGCAGGATGACCTCTCCGTTCCGCGACTTCCTGGCCCGAGAAAGCCGATCTGCCCTGTGCTAGCCCAGTCAGCCCGTCCCCAGCACTGGAGGCTCCTGCACACGCAGCGGGCATTCAGGAAATAGTTGTGGCATGAGTGAATGGGCTCCATTGGGACCCCGTAGCCCAGTAAGCCCCACAGCCCGCCGCCAAGTTCAGCCAAGGGCAGCCAGGCACAGGGAGGCACCGGAGGGGACGGTGAGGCCCCCATCCTCAGAGGAGCCTGTGGAGGAGGTCTCCTTTCTGTGCTGCCCAGCGGCAGCGGGATGGGGGACAGACCTGTGGCCCTCTCCTCCGCAAAGTGACAGTCTTCCTCCTGTCCCAGCGGGACTTTCTCTTCTCCGCCCTCTCCCTCCCCACCCCCTCCTGACTGACACAAGGCTGGCTCTGACATGATTTAAAAATAGCTATCAAGACAAGGAAGTTTAATTTTTAATGCTTTGGAAAGGAAGCGAACACAAAGCCGGCATTCCTTCACGGCCACATTCCAGGGTCCCGGGGCATCCGCCTGGCCCTCCATCTGACCCATGTCCCCCAGCAGAGCCATGCCTGCCCCACCCCAGAGACCTACTTGTCACCGCCCTCCGGGGAGCCGGCAGGATGCCTCACACCTGAGCACTCCAGGAGCCCCTACGTGCCTCTTGCTGCCGGCTTGGCCGGCACCTCCTGTTTGGAGAGGCTAGGCCTGAACCTGCTCAGATCCCATTCAGACCCCTCAGCGTCCCCTCCAAATTCCATTCCCAGACAGAAGGCAGCCCACAGACTCAGGACACGCCAGGCTGCCCAGCACTGATTGTGCACAGATCCTGTCCTGGGTACCACGGACCACGGAGGGGCCATGGCGTCCACAGAGGCGCCCAGAGCAGGGCCAAGCCAGCACTGAACACGTGTGATGCGGCTGGAGAGCCATGACCAAGCCGCCCGCACCCAGAGGGCAAGTAAACGGTCTGAGAGGGGTTGAGCCACAAAGGCCTGCCCTCACTTAGGGGAGGTTAATCAGGGCGCCCACCCGGCGCCCAGCCCAGCAGCCCTGCGCCAACCTTTCTCTTGCTCCGGCAGCCACACTGAACACTGCCTTCTTGGCTAATTGGCCTTTATTAAGGGAGCAATCCACAAGGAACAGCCTTTCCAGTGAGGCCAGAATGTCACTGCTTTGCCAGCCATGATTTAAAGTGAAGGGACAGCTCTACTGGCAAGCATGAAAAGTGACCATTACCCTGAGTGGCAGGTAGGCCAGCAACCCCAGCCCTACCCCAGCTTCCCCCTTCCCCAAATCAGACCGGAACTCAATTTGGGTTGGGAGAGGCTGGGCTGGGATCACAATTCGCTGTCCCAAAAAAGAGACCGAGGCCCCCAGCACTCAGCCCTATACTCTCTCCCCTACTCAGAGTTAAAAGCTCTGAGCCTTTTGTGCCCCCCTCGGAGGAGCTTAGATTCGCTTAATCTATGCCTGGAGTACTCCGCCAGATGGCCCGTGAGGACTGAGACGGGGCTGACCGAGGGAAACGCCCCCATGAGGAGAAACACGTTGGGTGGGTTGGATTGCTGGTGCACGGGCCCCTCGGGATGGGGAAACTTCTGTCCCAGTTCAGGCTCCCTATTTCCTATCCACCTAGAAGCCAGCATTCTCTTGGGCTCTGAGGATCAGGGTGGGGCACGCAGGGGGAAGAGGAGGTGGGACCCAGCCAGGCAGGATGACTCCCCTTCGCTACCCCACCATCTATATCAGGCCCTCAGAAATGCCCTGGGCGCCAACCTGGCTAGCACTGGCTGGTCCTGGTCAGCAGTGCCAGGGCAGACCTGGACACCTCCCCCTCTCCCAGCAGGCAGGCGCCCAGCAGCCTGCAAGGCACCTGCCCTTCCCTGGGTAAGCAGGAGGAGGAGGCTAGCCACACAGCTCCGCCTCCGTCCTGCCCCCGGTGATGTCACCCAGGCCCTGCCGATACCAATACCCTAAAAGCTCCGGCCAGCGGCGAGGAACCGGGCCGCTGGGGCCTGTGAGGGGCTGCCTGTGGACAGCTGCACCTCTCTGGGCCGGGGAAGCCTCCCAGCCCGGAGGCTGGGGGTGAGGCGGCAGTAGTGGACTTGGAAAACTACCAGGTGGGCTTCAGGGTCTGTGGGAAGATCTCCAGCTCCTGACTGCAGGCCTCAGGCTCTACTCTGGTGCCTCAGAAACGCCTCCTTTGGGGATCAGAGCCATGAGACTAGAAAGTGATGGCTACATAATTGCTACCAACTGCTCCGGGTCCCAGAGGGCTCGGCACTGACCAGCCCTGCACACTTCCCACCTCCCCCCACCCACCCTCTCACTCACCTCCGTCTTCCCCTCCCCGGGGCCCTGCCTCATCAGCACACCCACCTGCTTTCGGCTCAGCGCCTCTGCCCTTTCCCTTCCGCCCCTCCTCCCATACCAGGCCCAAGCACGTCCTGCAGGAAGGCTTTGTCCGCGTGGAACACTGGGGCCCACATGCCCAAATCCCGGCCAGCACCTGCTCCTCCACCACCCGATACATGCAGAGGCAAACACAAGCATCATTTCTCTTTTGCTAAATTTTCCATCTCTCCCAAGTCTCATTTCGCCTCTCACACGCTACTACGTCTCTCTCCACGTCTGTTTCATCATCTCATACGCTACGAGCATAAAAGAACTGGGACTAAGACCCGCAGATTTTCCCAGCTTGTAGCATGTCATGGGGATTCAGAAAATACTGAGTAATCAGAAAAGTCAGAGGCCAGGAGAGGGTGACTCCTTGCCTGGTAAGCAGAATTAGTAGATTCCTTCTTATCAGGAAGAGAGAGCAAGTTCACTATGACCAAAAAGGAAGACCATTCCACCGACCAGCTGGTGAACCTCAGGAAGATGGAAAGTCAATCCTCGCCCCACAGCCTTCATCACAAGCAAGTTAGAGAACTAACGTGTCTTCCCTACCAGTAGGACTGGGGAATCCTTACCACAGTAATGTGGGTTTACTGCGCTGGCCATCCATTCATTCACTCACAAACGCAACCAGCGCCTTCTACGAACAGGACACAAGGGTGCTAGTGAGTGGGAAGGTCCTTGAACTAAGCTGGGACCATCCTGGAGGAGAGGAGACAGCCAGTTATACCTACTATGGCCAGCAGGTGGCAGGGTGGGGGTGGGGAGGAGAGCGCCTGAGTGGGAGGTACTGGCCGGTGCACTGAGCATCCCAGGAGGGTCTTTCTAGCAAGAGTAGGGCAAGGCAGAAAGGTCAAAAGGTAGCTGGAGACTATGAACAAGGACAGAGAGGAAAGCTGTGTGGAATAAACGGGCAGCATTCATGTAAATCTGCTGGCACCAGAGAAATAGACACCAGTGCTGGGCTGACACTGATGGTGGCAAACGGGCCAGAGGACCAGAAGCACTTGCCCAAAGGCAGCCACAGGATCATTCCTGACGTTCCAACAGTTCTGCCCCAGTCTCCACAGAACCCTCGCCACAGGACAGGCAACATCGTAACAGCAGCGACGGAGGGCCCTGACCATGGAGACATCTGGGGAAATGCAACCCCAAAGATTTCAGACCAGGCTCCTCGGAAGAGAAGGGGAGGGGGCTCCCTCCCCAGAGAGAAGGCAAGGACGCAGGACTTCCCATAACTAATGAGATAAGGCTATGAGGGAGACCATCATGACCGCCCCCCATTGGACTGGAAGGGAAACCCAGTCCTTGAGGGATAAAGTGACTTGCCCAAGGTCACACACTAAAAGCCAACACAGAACCAAAGCCAGAGCCCAGTCTTCTTCCCACCCAGGCCTGAGCTCTCCCCTTCTATGGGAAAAGTCACCCCACCCATACACACCTACAAAAGTTTGTCAGTTAACGTGGGTCACTCCACACAAGTGTTGGACCTCAAAGCACACCACCTCCAGCCCACTGCACTGTGACTCCTGCCCCAGTGCTCCTCCTGGACCGTGGGCAGCTAGCTGACAGCCTCCAGCAGGCAGGAGACAGGCCCTGGGGCAGAGCCAAACATCTGTGCTGACTGTATCTGGGCTCTGGTGAAGAAAGGCGGAGACAGAATTTGGGATGATGGAACAATTAGATATGAATTTAAGAAGTTTTCAAATTTGCCTAACTAGTATTGCTCACGCACACACGTGCACAGAGACGGCCTTCCAAGCTGCCCCCTCACCACTGACACCTTCCCTAGAACATCATCTCTCACCAAGGATGGGGACATCCCTTGGTCCCTTCCAGTCTCTGGGGCTCCCGGAGACCAGTTCCATGGTGGGAGCACATGGCCAGCTCGCTCCTCGCCCAGTTCACTGCAATCCCTCAAAAGCAGCTGCCGCCACCCAATGGCAGCATCCCTCCCACGCCCTCTCTCGCCACACGAGCCCTAACTCAGGGGCATATCTGCAGGCCAGCAAGAGGGTCCCTGAGCCTGGCTCAGGGGCTCCTCCTCCCTTTCCTGGGATTCACTGAAAGGAGCGGGAGGGTGTGACCGCTACCACTCCCCCATCTCCTGCCCATAAAATGCTGCAGACTGTGTTCAGGAGGAAAACGAGAAGAAACTCAGAAAACCATCCGCACTTCTGCCTGAATTCAACTCAAGGTCACAGCTGTTAAAAATTCCGACCCCACACCTATTTCTGCAGATTCTGCAGTTGGAGGCACTTCCAGAAAGGCTGTCTTATAGGGGAAGGAGGTGGTGGCAAACTTCAGCAGCCTCCTAGGAGTAGAGCAAGTCTTTTCCTGGAAGACAGGCAAGTTGCAGCCTCCATTCAGCCACGAGGAGAGAGAAAGGAAGAGAGAGATGTATGAAAGGGGAGGGGGGCTGGGGGTGGTTTTTAAAAACCCCACTTACCGTTGCGCAGAGAGCAGAGCAATGCAGCTCCGAAGAGAAAGAGGGTACTGTGCTTAAGCAAGGAAGAACGGAGGCAAGAGACAGAGACACGGAACGACTTACCCAGAACATCAGATTGAAGAGGAACATCATGTACTTCAAGAAGCAGAGGCAGCCCCTGGCCATGTTGCACTTCTTAAATTCTAGGAGGAAAACAAAGGACAGGTCCAGGTAAAACACCACGTACTTGCTGCCCCTGGGTGCATTGTACTTGTCAGTCTTCACGCCAGCCTCGGCGCGGCTCTGGCCGCGGGAGCCCGCGGTGCCGTAGAAAGCGCCGGCCGTGAAGCCGCGGCCAAACGGGCGGCCCGAGGTGGACGGCTTGGCAAAGTCCGAGTCCTTGCTGTCCAAAGATGGACTCCGGTGGATCGAAGAATCCTCGCTACTCGACTTCTCCATGCTCGCGTCGCTCCCGGGGGGCACGGGGGGCGGGGGGCATCGCTCCCGGGGTGGGACCGAGGGGGCGCCCGAGTCGCGCGCGGGCGGCGGGCGGATCGGAGGAGCCTTGCACGCCCCCGCTCAGTCCCGGGGCGCACTGCCGGCCGGATCCCGCGCTCGGGGGCCGGCGCCCCGCTCCCCGCCAGCCAGCCCGGGAGGGCTATGCCGCGCGGCTCCAAGCGCGCTCCCGGGACACCGGCTGGCTGCGTAACTTAGCGTCTTTGGGGAGGCTGCGACTTGATTTCTCGTTCCAGAGCTTCAGCTCGCCTCCCGGGCGCACCGCCGCTCCACGCGAGGCACCAGGGCGCCGGGCTCAAGGCTCCCGGGCACACCTCTCCCGGCCCGGCCGGCTCGGCCACTTTGCCGGCGCCCGCCTCCTCTCGTCCCGCGACTTTGCCGAGCCGCCCCCGGCCCTGGGCTGCCCGGGCGCGCGGCGGGCAGTGCCGAGGGATCCGCCGCAGCTGCAACCGCTGGGCTCCCCCTGCTAAATCCCGGCCCGACTCCCGACTCCGGACTCCGAAACCGCCGGAGCCCCCTCCCCGGGCCTCGGCCCCGCCCTCTGGTTTGCATTCGGCCAATGAGCGCGAGGCCTGCGGGGGGCAGCCTCCCCTCCCGGATGACACCACAGCTTTAATGGGATTAGCGTTCTGCCTTGTGCCTACACCAGTGCGCCGCGAGCTTCGCTAAATGTCAAAGGCTCTGGAGCCGGGGTGAACCAGAACCTTCACCGCAAGGCGCTGGTCTCTTCCGGGGGATAGAAGGGGATGGGAAGGCAGGGGAATGGCTGGAGGTGCCACGACCCAAGGCGACCAGAGGAAAGGGCTGGGGAGGACTGGAAGGGACAGAAGCGGGGCCACGGTCGAGCTGGCCGCCGCCCCCTGTGCTCACGGGGCCTGTCCGACCCGGGTACACGGTCTGCCGGCTACACACACATACACACACACTCGCGCGCGCGCGCGCGTCTGCACACGTGTGTCTGGCTAGGGCGCGCAGAGAGAAGGACCGCAGGGGAGGTGCGAGGTGTGGGAAAGGCGCTCGCGACCCGCGCCGCCCGCCCCGCCCCCCCCGCGCACGCGCGCGCGCGCACGCGGCTCCGGAGGTTCCTGCAGCTGCGCGAGCCCCTCCACCGCTCCCCGCTCCGGGCGGGACGCGGTGCTCGCTGGGACCCCCGCCCAGCTGAGAAGAGTGGGTGGCTCTGGTCAGGTCCTGCCTTGCCCCTCCGAATCCTGCCTTGCCAAGGGTGATGTCTGAGTGCTCTGGGATACCGGCACTGGCACGTAAGGGCTGGTCAGGGCACAGCACCAAGACTGCTCTTGCTAGGAGCTTGGGAGCATCCAGGAGGAGCCCTTCATCCTACTATGAAACAGCAACAGTATCCCGAGCTTGTGCGAAAGTCTGCGTGCCCAGCTGGCAATAAAGAGGACTAGAAGACTGGGGTGGGGGCAACTCTCTTCTGCCACCAGTGAGAGGGTGCCCAGAGCCCCTGGAGCAGCGCCGTGTCTCCCTGGCCCTGTATCCCAGCACCTAACACCGTGCTTGGCCACCAAGAGGTGCTAGACAGGACGGCTGGATAGACGAATCCTGCCCTCGGGTATGTGAGTGTGAACTGTCCTCCTGGGATCCCACCAAACATTTACCCACCACCTGCTCTGTGCCAAGCGTGCCAGGCCCTTGGGGAAACAGGTATGAGGTGTGCTGCTCCCTGCCCTACAGATACACAAGCTCTAGCCAGGAAGACAGAAGGACATTAATCACCAAGGCCATGGGCAGGAACATAGAGCTATCACACTGGCTGCGGCCGAGGGAGCATTCATTCCAACCAGAGGAACTTCAACACTCTCATCACAGGCGTGTTGCAGTGGCCCCAAGCTGCTTGATTCGCACCTCCCCAGCTAGAGGCAGGCCTGCATCCCCGGGGGCGGGCGTTCAGCTTCTTTAAAGGGACCTGCAGGGCTGCTACTATTCTGAGCCCCCTCCCCAGATAGCAGCCCAACCACGACACCCAGTATGTGTCACAGCCATGGCACCTCACTGTCCCCTGGGTGGGCACAGGGGTCCTGGCGGATCCCCGGCCACCTGACAGGAATGGCTAACGCCCCCTGCGCTCTGCAGCCAGACCAGCCCCTGAGGGGCTCACGGCTGCCACTTCATTCTCACAACGTTACTTCTCTGATGCAGGAGAGACCATTTACCAGCTGGACTGACAGCCCGGAGGCCTGTTCTTCACTCTGAGCTCATTTTCTTAGCTGTGTGATCAGGGCAAGGTAGTTCGCCTTTCTGAGGTGCTGTTTCCTCCTCTTTAAAATGGGGTTCACAGAGCCCACCCCCAGAGGAGTCAGGACGTGATGACAGCATCAGGGGCCTAGGAACTGGGCCTGGCAGCAGGGTGGAGGGGCCAGATCAGCTGCTCTGGTGGCCTTGACTTCTTAGACTCAGCTGCAAAAGGAACCACCAGAGAGAACAGGTGATGTGAGACACCACCTCTCCTGCCCTCCTGGTCCTCCACCGCTCATCGTGCTCAGAAGAGCTAGAAGATAGTCTGCCCTTGAGGGTCTCAGAGCATGTGAACAAGGCAGAGCTGCCTCTTCTCTTTCCCTTTTTTTTTTTAAACCACAGAAAAAGTACAGTAGTACAGAATTCCCAGAGGGGAGGAAGAGAAGTGAATACATGAAATCAACATGCAACAGCTCCACTGACTGGCAGCTGGCAGGGATGTGGGCTTCAGGGTGAATGCCAAGCTCTCTGCCCTCCCTGCATTTCTCAGGCCTGCAGCCTTTGGTCTCTTGCCCACCCGCACACAATCCATGCTGACGGGCGGCACACACCCCCTTTCGGACGTGTGCTGAGTGTCTCTGTACTGACATCATGTGTGGCTCCTGAGGCATCCTGCATCTCCACGGCTCAGCCAGAATTTGGGTGACACAGAGTGGCACTCGCCACCCAGAGGAATGTGTGACAAGGGCCACCATCATGGGAGAAAGGAGTCTTATTCACCTCGCCTCAAGTTTTTAAACTCCCAAATTGAGATCTTCTTCAGCAATAATAGAAAATGCTTTGATTGCTAAGCAAGCCGTTTACCAGCGGTGTCAAAGGGAAGAAGGCTGGATGAGGGATGAATGGACAAAGATGTGGCACGTGGACAATGGAACACAACTCACCATAAAAACAGACAAAACCCTGCCATTTGTGACAATGTGGATGAATTGCACCAGTTAGGTAAAGTAAGTCAAAGAAATTCCGTATGAACTCCCTCATAAGTGGGATTTTAAACAAATAAACCAAACCAAGTAAAAACAAATATGTGGACGCAGAGAACAGAGCAGTGGTCATCAGAGGGGGAGGAGGGCAGGGAGGGCAAAATGCATGATGGGTGGAAACTACAGTCTTGGTGGTGAGCACACTGTTGCGTACACAGAAGTCAAACTATGATGCTATGGACATGAAACTTATATGATGTTATAAACCAGCATGACCTCAATAAATTTTAGAGAGAGATAAAAGGATGGAGAGGTCCCCAGCAGGGGCCACACCCCAGGATGTTCGCAGGGAGATTCACTCAGCAGGAGGGTCTAGGACAGGGGCAGGTCTCCTATTGGCTGTGGAAATTGAACAGCTCCTGGGCCACGTGTCACCAGACTTGGCCAGGGTTCACGAAGGGCGACCATGATGGTAAAAGGGTCAGGGTAGAAAGGAACTAAAGGTCATTGTGTTTGCTTGTCATTTGTTTAGTTTCTGAGACTGATAAGGAAAACAAACAAACAAGAGGGTTTGGCTGCAGCAGGAGGATCCACGTTAGAAGATTAGAGAGAGATGAATCGCTCAGGCTGTCTACCATGGGTGCCGCCACCTTCTTCCCTGGGGAAGGGCTCATCCTCCTCCTTCCAGCCCCCAGCTCCTCGTCCAGACAAATTAGTTTACCCACCTGCCCCTGCTCTGACCGCGGGGCTTCTCGAAGGAGGCAGGGGCTGTGTCTTAATCATTGTGTCAGCCCCGGCCCCTATCCCGGTCACCACCTCAGTCAGGGCAGGTGCTCAGAATGGGTTGGCAGGTGGAAAGCAGGGAAGCCCACCAGGCCCAGGCCCTAGGTTCTCCCCCTGGACCACTTAAGAGCCCAAGCTCACTCACCAGAGGGTGGGACCCGAGCCAGAGCGTATGGGATTTTCCTGGGAAGCAGGCTGTCGAGGGCATCGGGACCTAGTGAGGGACGGAAGGGCCCAGCTTTGGTAACAGAGTGTGAGACCACGTGGTCAGCCTGTTCACAGCCACATCCCCAGCATGTGACCTAGCCTGGGACGGACGGAGAAACAGACAGACGAGAATACACACAAACTCATGGAGCAGAGAGGAGTCAGGAAAGACAGGAGGTGGGGAAAAGAGAGGACTGAGACTGGACAAGATAGAGGACAGAGCTCTTCCAGGTCCTCCCCAGTCTGGGTGACCAGCTTGATGAAGGCACTTGCATCCAGCCCCAAGTCCCTGGTGGACCTGTGCAGACTCCCCCATTCTGCCATCACATCTCAAGGCCCAAAAGGTGGAGGCCACTCCTGCCCGTGAAGAGACCTCAGCCATGTGTCCACACCTACGAGGGACTGGTGAGCAGGCCCATCAGAGCATGCGCTGCTGATACTGTGGACAGTTAGCTCAGCTCCAAGGATCGGATCACAGCTCCAGACCAGCCAGCCCACTCCTGACCCGGCCGAGAGCT